AAGTGATCAAGAATTGGGGGCCACTGGAAGAGCTGGACAGGTCAAGAGAGGGGTGACAATGACATAGATGAAATTCTCAAAAATTTTATTTAACAAAATAAAAAGGTGGGGAGGAAGGAAGGAAGGAAGGAAGGAAGGATGGATGGATGGATGGACTGATCATTGGGCTCTCCCTAGCATGGCTCTGCCTCTCAACTGCTTCCGGTAAATGCTTTAGTTGAAATGTCAGCATAGCTCTGGGGCTTTAAGAACTAAAACCCAAGGACATGGAGAGATCAAGGCCTGGAGAGTGGATCTGGGCTATGGCGCAGGAATAAGGGATCTAGACTAGCTGAGGGGTCAGAGACCATAGCAAATATCCTCAAATTTATGCTCTTTTATAATATGTAAAATACAGACCAAAAATCATTTCCCTTTTCTCATGTTGCATTGTGACAGATACACCATGCATGAAAAGTTTCATCTTCAACTTCTAATATTTTTACAACCTTATTCCCTCCTTTTTTTTTTTTTTTTTTTGTATCAGAATAAAGGTGGAAAATCCAGTTTAGGGCATGGTATTAGTGCTGTCTGAATTTTGAGGTTCTGACCGTGGGTGGGAAATATGCAAGAAAGAACCAGGAGAGCCCTGGCTGACAGGCAGTTCTGGTAATGGATGCGATCAATTTTGGAACCTTTTTGACTTCATCTTGTCAGTTATAGATGGCAGTGATTGTCTTCCATCTAACCGTCATGTTCCAAACCCCATCCTGGCCCCGCAATCAAAAGCATCACTTTCTATAACCCACAGAAAATGAGTCCCTTCATGATAAAGCAGTATTTGAAAACTTTTGGTTTGCACAGGTCTAATTCAATTCAGTTGGCTGGCCCTGAAATAGAAACTTTAAAATATAGTTCTATTAAAAAAGTAATGCCTATGTAGAAAACCAGCTATTTATTAATAAACCATTAAATTTACCAATAAACATTAAAATGACTTGTCATCTTTAATTCATTACTAAATTTATCAATAAATGTGATTATATTTTAATACATCAACCAGGCTTCTAGACAGAGGTACCAAATGGTTTTAACTGAGCGACTAGTGAGAGGTAGGAGCCATGGCTCCATTACTCTAAATGCCTCATGCCCAACCCAATACTGATAACACAAACATTCGTCAGATAAAAGGACAGAAAGGGATGATTATTTTCTAACCACTTCCAAATTCAAATTTCAACTTGAATTGTCAAAGAACCTATTCTAAATATTCAAATATTTCGTCTGAAGAATGAGGCACATTCCAGGGCTTTATGCAAATTGGTATTTTAAAGCTTCCTTCTAAGAGCATCCTAAGCATCCCCACCCACCAGGAACAAATGCCCATGCACACTGCTCACCTGCCATGTCGATGGCAAAAGGCCTGTCTTCTCTCCACCCGGTGTACCAGCCGACAACTTTGCCATTTTTCACCAATGGACGTTCATAGCGGCGCCCACCAACTAGGCCCACAGGCCAGACAGAAACCTTGCGGGTGGTTCTCATCTGTGAAATGGGGAAAGAGATGTGTCTGAGTTTTGTTAATGTGTAGTGATCTACGTGGCAGGAATGAAGTTACTATGGTTTCACATTTTTAAGGTTTTCAAACAGAATCCCCAGTTTTTTGTCATTTGGCCCAAGGATTTCAAGAGAAAATAAACTTGCTGGGTGTAGTGGTGGATGCCTTTAGTTCCAGCACTTGGGAGGCAGACACTGGTGGATCTCTGAGTTTGAGACCAGCCAGAGATACATAAGACCCTGTCTAGAAAAAAAGGAAGAAAGAAACTAAACACTAGGTGTCAGTGCCCAAATATCACTTATTTGAAGTCTACCTTGATAATTAAATGCTCTCCATTTGTCTCAAAATCAAATCTCTTAAGATATAACTTCTTATCTTCTCAAATAAGTCACTTTATTCCCAGAAAACTCTACAATTCAGTAAGTGATGTCACTCAGAATGACTTTCTCCAAATGTTTCGTTTCTGTAGACACATACTTTGGGAGGTAGAGGCAGGCAGAGCTCTGTGAGTTCAAGGCAAGCCTGGTCTAAGTGAAGAGTTCCAGGGCAACATGGTGAGACTCTGTCTTCAAAAAAAAGAGAAGAAAATAAAAAGATTACAGAGCAAAGAAAATGTTAAAGCCTCCAAGAAAAAAGTGCTAATTCACTTACAGAGGCAAATTCATCTCGATACCAATAGACCTCTTGTCAGAAACCCTAACTGCTCCAGAAGCATCTATGATATAGTTCAAGCCTTGAAAGTAGACATCCCTGACAAGATTGTCTTTTAAAATTGACGAGGAAATAAAGACCTTCTACGACAAGCAAAAACTAAAAAAATGAAACTAAGGTGGCAACACTCTGAAGAATAAACTTTAGAGGAATTGTGCACAGGGGAGAATAAGATACTAACAAGATCACGGGGAAGAATAAATTTCATGACAAGAGAAACAAAAACTTGGAACAAATTAATCATAATTTCAGCAGATCAGAAAAAATTCATGATAGTCAAAGGAAAATGAACAAACTATATTTGAACCAATTAAAACCATTAATACAAGAATCAGCACTAGGCTGCTCAGTGACAGCCTAATGTAAATACATTTAACTTTTCCCCTTAAAAGATGAAGATTAGCTGGCTGATTAAAAAAACAAAACAAAACAAAAACAAAACCAAGAGACGACTCATAGGTAATGGTGAGTTGAAAGCAAAAGGTTGGAAAATTATGTTCCAAACAAGGGGAAACTGAAGACAAGCCAGAAGGTGACAACTGAAAACAAACCATACTCATATCTAACAAAGTAGACTTGAAGGAAAAATTTGTCAGACAAGATAAAGAAATAACCCCTAAAAGACATAGCAATTATAAATACATGTACCAAACATTGACATATTGAATCTTAATACAAGCACTATTGCATGGAAGGGCCAGATGAGTCCAGATGTTTACAATAATCAGTCAATAAGTGTCACCAAGTAGATCACTCAGAAAACACCCAACTCTGGGCTCAATTGCACCTTAGATCAAATGGACTTCAGAGTCATCTACTGAATATTCTGTCAGAGTGCAAGCTACAGGTTCTTTCTCAGCATCCCATGGGACCTTCCCTAAAACAGGACAGAGTTTAGGCTGTAACACAATCTTAGCTACTTTATCATTTCTGTGATAAAATATTCAGACAAAAGCAGCTTAAGAGAGATAAGGGTTTACTTTTCTTTGGGCTTACAGTTCCAGAGAGCTATAGTCCATCATGACACTAGGAATAAATGGCAGGAGCAAGAAATATGTCCCACTTCTGTTACACTGTGTCCACACTTGGGAAGCAGAGGAAACCGGGAAGTAAGAATGGATCACAAGACCTCAAGGCAGTTCCTTGTAAGTCACAGCAAGGCTCCACCTTTTAAAGATTCTAAAATCTTCCTAAACAGTGCCACCAGCTAGGGACCAAGTGTTCACACACATGAGCCCATGGGGTACATTTCACATATAAACTGGAAAAGTCAGTCTTAAAGCACAAGAATGAAATGCATTTCTTTTGTATTATCAGATAATAATGGACTAATGGCTGAAGCCATGCTGTCACCCTTGGGAATGGTGCATAAGTGTGTTGCCAGCGGAGCTCCTTAGATTGCAAGGCCCTTTGGAGAATCCCATCCATCTAGCAAGGACCTATGGATACAATATTGCAAACTCCTGCACTGACCTTGGGGAGCTCATGGGCTTCAGGTTTCGCTAAGCTAACTTTCGCTATGCTTATTCTTATGGAAACTCTTAGTTTTGCCCTGGGAATCATGATTATGCCGGAGTACACTGGGAACAAAAAGTTGACATGAAACTATCCAGCACAATTGACCCCTTGACAACTTGACACATAAACACACCACTGTTCAGCTACAACTTTTCCCTTCTCATCCATCAAGAGATCTCACATAAACATAAATGACTTTGAAAGCCACACAGTCTTACAAATTAAAAAACTCAAAAGTTTAGTCCCTTGAAAATATCCCGTCTCTTTAAAAATCCATATTCTCTTTTACAAGTTCAAAATCTCTCAACTGTGGGCTCCTGTAAAAATCAAAGTTAAGATAAATACCTTCTCACTTCAAGAAGGAAGAGCCAGGGCACAGTCACAATCAGATCAAAGGAAAACCAAACTCCCAACAGTGTAAGTAACTCAAAGTTCAATGTCCACGATCCACTCAGATCTTCCGGGTTCCTCAAAAGGCTTGAGTTGCCTCTCCAGCTCCGTCATCTGCAGCTCACACAGCTTGTCTTCTAGGCTCCAGCTGGCTCCACTCCCCTGCTGCTGCGGTTCTTGGTGGTCATCATGGTACTGGCATGTCGAAAATGCTGGGGTCTCTGCTGCAACTGGGTTGCACTTTCCCCCAGTAGCCTCTCCTGGGCCCTCTCTAGTGATTCCATTCCTGGCACACAGCAACAAGCCTCAGCTGCTCTCCATGACCCCTTCATGCTTCAAAACCAGTTCCACCTGAGTGACTCACTATCAAGTTCAGCTGCCAGCCTGAGATATAACCTTGGCCATATCAGGAACATAGCCTGTGTGTGCTGACTTTCAGGGAACACTTTTGAGATTTCACCTCAAAAGTGACGGTCTCTTCTTAATCACCACCAATTTCTCAGTTCCAGCCGACCAGCATCAAGTACCCCAGCAAAGCAAAGGTTTTACTTCAGTGGTTCTGGTATTTTGTTAATAACAGCTGATTCATGAATCCCAGCTAACCAGAACCACAGAATCTTAATTCAAAATAACAAATAGTCCCCCAAAGAGCCTTTATACTTCCCTCGGAAACCTCACAAACCAGGCCTCCATCCTCTGCGTTGCCCTCAACAATCTTGTTTTCAAAACTCCTACAGAACAGTTCACTAAGCTCTCAGCACATAAGGCTCTTCTAGCCCAAAGCACAGGTCCCGCCACAATCCTTCCTCAAACAACATGGTCAGGTCTCTCATAAGAATACCTAGTCCCTGGTACCAACTTGTCTTAGGGTTTTTTATGATGAAACACCATGACCAAAGAAACAGAGAGGAAAGAGTTTATTTGACTTACACATTACTGTTCATCAATGAGGGAAGTCAGGGCAGGAGCCTGGAGGCAGGAGCTGGTGCAGAGGTCACGAAGGAGAGCTGCTTACTGGCTTGCTCCTCTAGTTTGCTCAGCTTGCTTTCTTATAGAACCCAGGAACACCAGCCCAGGGATGGCCCCACCCACCATGGGCCAGGCCCTCTACCACTAATCACTAATTAAGAGAATGCCCTACAGGCTTGCCTACAACCCAATCTTATGTAGGCATTTTCTTAATTGAGATTCCCTCCTCTCAGATGACTTTAACTTGTGTCAAGTTGATAGAAAACCACCCAGCACAAAAATCAACATATAAAAACTAGTAGCTTTTCTATAATAATAATAATAATAATAATAATAATAATAATAATAATAATCTTTCAAAGAAAGAAATCAGGGAACAATCAGATTCACAATAGCACCCCCCTCCAATAAAAAGAATAAATCTAGGAGGTGAAACCTCTATAAGAAAAACTTTAAGACACTGAAGGAAGAAATTGGAGAAAACTCTAGAAGAGGTAAAGACTTTTAATGCTTGAGGAGTGGGAGAGTTAATATTATAAACATAGCTATATTCCTGAAAAGCAACCTCCAGACTCAATACAATTCTCATCAAAATGATAACATTATTCATAGAAATACAGAAAAAAAACCTCTTAAATTCATATGGAGGACAGAAGACTCTGAATAATAAAAGCAATCCAATTCAAAAGGAAAAATGTGGCTGGTATCATAATGCCAGACCTCAAATTATTCTACAGAGAGATAGGGACAGTATAGTATTGACACCAAAACAAGACATGTGGACCAATGCGAAAGAAAACCCAGAAGTTCCCCAAGCCTCAGCCATGAATAGTTGACAAAGATGCAATGTGCATAGAGAGAAAGAGCCAGTTCCTTCAAGAAATGGGGTTAGAGCGAGGTCTCAGTGGTTAAGGGTGCAACCACGTCTGCTTGTAACTCCACCTCCACGAAGATGCTGCTGCTTTGGCCTCCACAGGCAACTGCACTCACCTCCCCATGCATACACGTCACTAAAAAATAATAAAAATCAATTAGAGAAAGAATGATGCTGGCTATCCACACGAAGAAGGACGCTAGTTCCATATACTTCATCCTGCACCAAAATTCAAAATGGATCAAAGATTTTTTTTTCAAGAATTACTTTTATAGTTTTTGTTTTTCAAAGTTTCTCTGTGTAGCTTTTGGAGCTTATCCTGGCACTCACTCTGGAGACCAGGCTGGCCTCGAACTCACAGAGATTCCCCCTGCCTCTGCCTCCCGAGTACTGGGATTAAAGGCATGTGCCACCAACGCCCGGCTACTTTTTATAATTTTGAGACATGATTTAATTCCTGAAAATATTACTATTTTCCTGATTGATTAATGAATATCATATTTAATGAAACCAAACTTATTTGTA